CAGTAATTGACTAAACCAGGTTTCTCATGAATATTAATTCTTGACATCACTGTTATCCTCATCACTATAAAAAATAGTTAATAACATGTTAATGATTAGATATTTCGCTAACAAAATAACTATACTTTAATAATCACATAATTATAATTATGTTCTTTACAGTAACAACTTTTAATGTGTCTGTCAGTACATAATTGTACTCCTTTTAACATTATACTATTCGCTCATTTACTTAATGTATATTTGATACAAATTATTACACTAGAGTACTCACTCATCGTCGGGTAGAATTTGTAAAATTACTATAATACAGTACTCACTGAGCTCTTGGTAGAACGTTCATGGTTGTCGATGGTTTGTAACGTTCGTATTGATCGTGTCGATTAGTGAGATATCTGTGAATAGTAGTACAGCCTTATTTAATTAGAACGAATAAGTCAAAACCTAGCATACACAAACTTTACAATTTTCGAACAAATTGTAAGAACAAAATATCGAATAGGCCTATTCACAAGCTGCATGATTGGCTGTCCTCGTCACGTGATTTTGAATTATTCCGCTTCTACTTCCTGTATACCTCTATAAATCATTCGGTTGAATATATAATAAATTTAGAAAATATTGTATCATCCGACATGGCGAGTGAAAAAAAAATAAGTGTAATAGGCCTAATAGTGAAAAAATAAAAAACTATTAAACAATGATAATTTTGAAAAATAATAGGTATAATAACCACAATCATAAATATAATAAAAGTGATAGATGAAAAAAAAAATAGATGATTGCATTCTAGATGTAATGGAAACCTTTGTCTAAACCACTCTCGTTAGCTCGTCAGCTTCCTAGAGGGGACTTTCCAGAAAAAAACTACAAGGTACGGTACAAGGTACATACCCATACTTGATGACGGCCATTTGGGGCGAGCTCACGGATATATATATATATATATATACTGTCTCTTATACACATCTAGATGTGTATAAGAGANNNAAATTATATTGTTAAATTCTACCAGATCATTTGCCTATGCCAGCTATACAGGTTTATTCTAAGCGGTCTTTAAGTAGTAGGCATATTGGTAATAACACTCTATCCAGGCAAAACGCGCCGGCGAATAAAAATACAGTGCAATTATTTTATAAGTCCAGATCTCTCGGAAGGGGATCGGAAGCTAAAATCGGCAGGCATCAACGGACAAATACACTTCCCACCCTCTACAAGGACATCCCCCAACCACTCTAAATCTAAAGCTGGATATATCCCATTGCTATTCACGTATAGGAGCCGTTACTTATGATCCCTTTTCTGGTAGCCAAAAAGGTAACGGAAGGTGGGTGCGGCCAACGATGTTTAGATAGTACATGGATAGTAAATGTGTTCTGTCTACAATCTTTTTGGGAGTGTATTTCAAAAACCTTCTCAATGAAAGTGTCAATATATAATTATAGTCCTCAGCAAATAACTGCTTAATAAAATGTACCCACCTTTTGGAAATAAAATGGCCTTCGGAAATGTACTGTAGTGTCGGATTATGCTTAGCGTTGTGTTGAGGAACTTGTTAAACGATGATTGGCTCGTTCGACTGTTAGATTCATACAGCAGTAATAAACGGATCTACGTCACAATGAAATAAGTTATTGTTATCAAAATATATTCATAATGACTTACCAGGTCACGAATGAACCATTTCCGAGTCGATTTCTGTTATGATGTTACTGTAAATGGATAGCTTTAAAAAAAACAACAACAAAACAACAACAAAAAACAAAAACAAAAAAAACAAAAAACAAACCCTCCCCCCACAAAAAAACAAAAAAACAAAAAACAAAAAAAAAACAAAAAACAAAAAACAAAAAAAAAAACCCCAAAAAAAAGCAAATAAATAAATAAATATATATATAATCGTATCAATCATAGCCCATCAATGAAAAGTTCCTTTATTTCAGTTATATGAAAAAAAGTGTCTCTGGCGGGATTCAAAACTGCAAGGTGAGTATCATATATCAGACCACAGACCTACCAGGATACAGGCGAAGATCCAACTCCCAGGCAATAATAGTGGAGCTGTGGTTAAGCTAGAAAAGCTTGTAGGTCGCAGCTTAACTTTCAAAGATAAATATAAAATTGTGTTAACCACAAAATTAAATAGAACACTTTAAAATGAAGATAAAAAATAATCAACAATGGACAGGAACTGGATTTCAGACCAAGCCAAAGCTGTAGTACTATATTATATAATAATTAATAAAACCGTAACTAATGAATTCACATTTCCACAATCATGGATTTAGGATTTCGAAACGGCAACCGCACAAAAATAATTTCACTGATTTTAAGCACGATAATACATACTACATAGACTTAGGCCTATAACAGTAAACCAATCCTTTCTAGGTAGGGCACCCAAGTCCTAGCCGCCTAGGCCTACGCCTAGGTGCAGTCTACGCTTGCTCCTACTACCTAGGCCTATTTAGTACCGTACAGAAGGCCTACTATGCCTACTTCTAGGCCATACTAATGATTGGAAATATAAGTCATAATCAAAGTCTATACCCTTCAAATAACCTACTGTGTGTGTTTGCCGTTCAATTTAATCTTCATTTACACGTCCTGCGGCCTTTTGCTCATGGATTTTGAGGATATTCTTTCACAAAATAATATTTGTTTTATAATATGAACACAAAACTCGGCGCATGCAACGAACAAATACTCTTTCCTGATTGGACAATAGTTGTCTACACAGAGCGGCTATAGGAAAAAATATCTGTTGTGTTTTATCTTTTTATCTATTATTTTTTATTTGCTGTTGCTATCAAGTTATGTGTATTAGAGTATTAGATGATTATCGTGGTCCAAAAAAATATAATCAAAAGGTCTGATGAGTCGTAACTAGATTGATTGATGAGACTATTGGTCAATTTTCCACATATTTATCAACTTTTTAACGAGCTAAGACCAGAAGTATATTGCAGAATACAACAGAGTAGAAATTTACTTTATTAGTAAAGCAGTAATTAAATAGGCCTATCTCCCAAATTTGATTAGTCATTTTGGTTAGTACGTTATCATTATTCATTATTTATTTTATTCAATATTTAGGAAATTAGATTCATAACAGTAATTAAAAAATATTTTAATTTTCCTTGTTTTAAATCAAGCCGGTCGATTGAAATAAATACATGACTGTTTAATAGTAGGCCTAATTGAGATAATAGCATTGCAACATATGACCCACAAATATCCGTATACTTTTGTAAATGAGGCATAATAAATCTAATTAGGCCAAAAAAGAAAATTATTGTGTTGGCCACGCCCCACCGACTCAAATTTTACAAAATTCAGGGTCGATATTTTACTTTATTATTATTTTTATTACGAGCAAATAAAGCTGGAATAGCCTTGGCCATGCCATATGCTAGGGGGCCAAGGCTAGCCTATTTTGCAGGCCTACCCATCTTTTGAATTTTGCCAAAACGTGGTCAAAACAATTTTTTCTTAGCCATTTACGAACATTTATGTTATAATAATCACCCTGATAAAATGGGACTATAGGCCTACTTCTTACAAGCCTTTTAACTTTACTTCTTCAAAGAGCATGTGGCGGATACAGAGGATAACAGAAAGGTACTCGCCACGAGCCAGGAATAAAATGGTATCATTCAAAAACTAGTGTCAAATACCGTGAAACCTCAATTTGAAGCCCTGGGCGTCTTCTTTCTTTCTTTCCTTTACTTTTTTATTATTTATTTTTTTTAAAGATGGGCATACAATGCAATCTATTATCATATTATAAAAGAAATCAATCCTATTATCATATTATAAAAGAAATCAATCTGTATCATGGAGTGTATTTAACTACTGTATAAACCAAGCTTCTTTTTAATTTATTTTGTTTTTTGAAATTCATGTACAGTGTATATACTGTACGATCTCGTAAAGAAGCCTGTGCTATCTTGAAAAGAAGCCCATGGGATGGGCTTCTTTTTTAGGCTAATTTTCCAAACTAAAGAGGGGGGGCTTCAATATTCGACATCGGCTTCATCACGCGATTAAGCCAAAGAGTATAAATAGAACAAGAGAGCCAACAACGCTCATTGGGAGCGTAAAAAAACGATACGCTCTACGCAGATAGTGTAGGACGCCAACTAACGCTTGTATATGTTTTATTACCCAGTACTGCACC